CCTTACTCTCCCTATCTCACTATGACACAGGGCCATCAGAGGGGAGCCCACCCCCTCTCCACCCTCACTCTCCCCATCTCATTATGACACAGGGCCATCGGAGGGGAGCCTACCCCCTCCCCATCCTCACTCTCCCCGTCTCACTATGACACAGGGCCATCAGAGGGGAGCCCACTCCCCCACCCTCACTCTCCTCATCTCATTATGACACAGGGCCATCAGAGCGGAGCCCATGAGCCTCATTCAGTGCAGGCGCCTTCCACTCCCTAGGCCCAGCACTGGTCTTGTCCATCTCCCAGCATCCCTCTCACTGTGGCTCAAATATGACATTCTTTTCTATTCCCTCCCAGCAAGGCTGAACCTTCACGCTACTGGGATTCTCTGTTACAAGAAAAACCCAGATTCCCAAAACGGCCTGGAAGAGATCAAGAGAAGTCATAACAAAGGTTTTCTGAACTGAAACATCCTCTTGAATCAGAGACAGCTGTAACAACCGAATGAGAGTTTTCGCGTGCATACTGTGAAAACTTTGAAATGCTATTGAAAGACTACTGTTACAAGAGCTCAGACTGCTAAAAAGGTCAGCAGTTTGAATCCACCAGCTGCTCCTTAGAAACTCTATGGGCAGTTTCTACTTTGTCCTGTAGGGTCGCTATGAGTTGGAATCTACGTGATGGCACACAACAATTACAAGTGTACCCATTTGGTTAGGATGATCCAATTTCAGATACATTAAATGCAAGATTACAAGGAAATCTGAGGCCGGTGAGCAACAGGAAGGCATTGGTAAGCCTGAACCAACAACATGGACACCAGTTATCCCTTCAGGTTTTAATCCAGCCGTCCAAGTCAGTTTAACTCAACTGAACAGCTCTCAGGATCAGAGACCAGCAAGACCTCGCCTCGACGATGGCCCTTCACGTTCCCTGAGCATGTGCCCTGGCAGGCTGGGGAGGGCTGCTGGCAAGATGCTGGCAGACCCCTTGGCATCTGACCACACCCCACCAGAGGAGCCCACTGCCGGCTCTGCCCCCTGCCTCTCCCCAAACCCCGACACAGGTGTGACCCAGCTGCTCTCAGTCTCAACAGCCTCGTGAACCCCTCCTCTCCAAAACGAAGCTCAGACAGCACATGGTTATGAGGGACCTGCTGCAAGCCAGCTGCCACAGGGGACAGGAATGTGGTGCCAGAGCTGGCCACAGGAGCCTAAGCTCTAGAACAAAAGCAGAACTGTGAAGAGAGTGAACTATAAGAAGAACTGAGCACATGAGAGAAGGCTTAAAAATGCAGAGTGTTCTTGTAGCTGCGGTGACTCAGGCGTGTCCTGGGGATGAGGGGGGTGGTCCAGCCAGGAAGAGCAGGAAGGGGGACACCGCCTCAGCCGGAGCAGATGGCCATGTGGGGTGAGTCGGCCACGAGAATAGATGGGCTCAGCATCACATGGAGCATCGCACACTGGTCGGGGACAGCACAGTGGAGAGAATCAAGTGGGTCTGGCTGGCACTCCACAACCAGATGCTTAACTGGTTAGATATAAAAGTTCTTCCAAACTGGCCGGGAAGTGGCCCAGGTGGGTGGGAAGTGGCCCCACATGTGTAGGCCCCGCATCCCTTAGGGCCACAGCACTGGTCCCATCAGGAGAGGAAGGGAACACTGCGGGCCTCCCACTATCATCCGGCAGTGGCCAGCTAGATGTTTCTAGCTGGGCTTTCATGCTTAGCCTCTTTTTGGAGCCACCGATAGGCGGCCCCACCAATGAGATACAGCGTATGACCTCACTTTGTCGGCCCGGGAATGGTCACAGACTCTGTTTCTTACCCAGGCAGTGATCCAGGCTCTGCAGAGCTCTGGCTAATGGCTCCGCTTGTCAGCCGTCAGTGCTGGCCTGGAACGCGGTGCTTTAGCTGGCAGCTGCGGCAAGGTTGTGCAATATCGCCACGACATGGGTGGGTGTGGTTCCGTGTTATCTTCTCTCTGCAAGGACTGTGACTTCATCCTAATCGCTAAATCTGAGGTCAATTACTGAGCCATCTGGGTGTAAGGACCCCATTCCCATCTTTACAGCACTGAAGTATCACGTCAATATTGTATGATACTTGAATGTTAGCTAGGGTCTCGGGAATCTAGAGATTTAAAAACACCTAGCACAGTGCAGAAGTCTTCTCAAAGAAATATGGACAGTGTGTAACCAGGGGCCTCAGATCCCACAGACCCTGTTTCAAGGATAAGACGAAG